ATCAAAATGGGTGTCTCTATATTTTGGTAAACCTTCCGAAATCTTCCAACAGTCCCTAACTTTGAGTGTATGTATAGAGAGTGAGAAATTGAAGGTCCAAAAACTTTGAGATCAAAATGGGTGTCTCTATATTTTGGTAAACCTTCCGAAATCTTCCAACAGTCCCTAACTTTGAGTGTATGTATAGAGAGTGAGAAATTGAAGGTCCAAAAACTTTGAGATCAAAATGGGTGTCTCTATATTTTGGTAAACCTTCCGAAATCTTCCAACAGTCCCTAACTTTGAGTGTATGTATAGAGAGTGAGAAATTGAAGGTCCAAAAACTTTGAGATCAAAATGGGTGTCTCTATATTTTGGTAAACCTTCCGAAATCTTCCAACAGTCCCTAACTTTGAGTGTATGTATAGAGAGTGAGAAATTGAAGGTCCAAAAACTTTGAGATCAAAATGGGTGTCTCTATATTTTGGTAAACCTTCCGAAATCTTCCAACAGTCCCTAACTTTGAGTGTATGTATAGAGAGTGAGAAATTGAAGGTCCAAAAACTTTGAGATCAAAATGGGTGTCTCTATATTTTGGTAAACCTTCCGAAATCTTCCAACAGTCCCTAACTTTGAGTGTATGTATAGAGAGTGAGAAATTGAAGGTCCAAAAACTTTGAGATCAAAATGGGTGTCTCTATATTTTGGTAAACCTTCCGAAATCTTCCAACAGTCCCTAACTTTGAGTGTATGTATAGAGAGTGAGAAATTGAAGGTCCAAAAACTTTGAGATCAAAATGGGTGTCTCTATATTTTGGTAAACCTTCCGAAATCTTCCAACAGTCCCTAACTTTGAGTGTATGTATAGAGAGTGAGAAATTGAAGGTCCAAAAACTTTGAGATCAAAATGGGTGTCTCTATATTTTGGTAAACCTTCCGAAATCTTCCAACAGTCCCTAACTTTGAGTTTAAGATCAGCCACCGTAAGGGAGGCCTTCGATGAGGGTTCTCAAAGGACCCCATACCCACCCAATCATTGAACTAAAAGAAGGTGTTGGAACCATTGAGTTTGAGTTTTTTGGTTCCTAAGTTGAACAAGTAGGCCCATTTTTTTATTCCTCTCCAAGTGGTTGATGATTTGGTTGTACCCTTGTTGTACTTAGAGTTAAGGACTTGAGCCCATAATTTGTGGTACTCGATGTGTAGTCTCCAGTTAAGTTTGGCTATACACACATTGTTAACAATGCATGCTTACCTAATGCTCAAACCACCAAGTTTCTTGGGTTTGGCCACTTTCTCCCAACTAATGGCATGGATTTTTCGTTTCTCAGTTATGGTGCCCCACAAAAAATCTCTGTTAAGTTTGTCAATTCTATTGCTAACCAACTTGGGGAGTTGGTTGCATTGCATGACATGGGTAGGAATGATTGTATTGATATGAGGGTTACACGACCCACGAATGTTAGGAGTTTTGATTTCCAACCTGAGAGCTTGCTTTGGATTTTTTCCACTATAAAGAACAAAGAGTTGGTATTTGGTTTGTTTAGTGTATGTGGCAGCCCAAGTGTTGGGGTTTGAAGTTTATTTGCAAAATGAAGCTTGGTGCTTTCGTTCACATTGGAAGAAAAAAGGACTTTGGATTTATTCAAGTTGATTTTTTGGCTTGACAAGTTGCAAAAATCTTGAAGCACTTTGGAGATGGAAGAACAATTTTGCTCAGTGGTTTCCTTGAAGAGTATTAGGTCGTCAACAAAGAAAATATGAGATAGGGTAGGTCCAGTTCTTCCAACTTTGATTGGTAACCAAAACTATTGGCCTAAGTTTGGGTCAGCATCCAACTGTGATGGAGACCCGGGGTAAGGCCGAGTCACAGTCGACTTGTGGCACTTGGCGCTGTGCCCTTTAAGGGAATAAAGTTGCACCTTTACCCCTACCTATGGGTTTTGGTGAAATGGTAAACGTTGAGGTTCTACAATTGATATCAGAGCAAAGTTTCAAGTTCGATTCCCCTGGAGGGCATGCTGCTTGCGAGCAGGTGTTGGGGAGGGATTGTTGGCCTGGGTTTGGGCCAACATCCTGTAGTGGTGAAGGCTCGAGGTAAGGCCGAGTCACAGTCAACTTGTGGCGCTTGGCATTGTACCTTTTAAGGGAATAAAGTTGCATCTTTACCACTACCTATGGGTTTTGGTGAATGGTAAGCGCTAAGGTTCTACAAAAACTTTTGATCGCAAGCATTAGAGATGGAAATAAATAGGTACTCCATCTAGAGGATAAAGATGTATGGCAAGAGGGGGTCATCTTGTCTAATGCAGAATCCTCACACCTTAGTAGAAAACTACGGGTTCAAATTTTGCATAGTCAAAACCAATGGTCGACTTAAGAGGTGGTAAGTAGAAGGATCGTCATTCTTACGATTTTTAAAATCCCTTTACTATACTAGTATAACTATTAATCATTTCAAAACTACATAGGTTTGTTCCTCCTAAAATTTTACAATAATTTAAGTTGACGTCCCTTTTGGATTAATGTATACCCCAATTAATTTTGATTAAGAGAACCTTGAATACATTTTCACTTTGAGGCAAGTGATATAGATGATATGTACATATTGGATCATGAAGTACTTAATAGTTCAATCCAATCAACCCAAAAGTAAAAATTAAAATAATAACAACAACAACAACAGTAATAATACTAATCCTTAATAATAATAGTAAAAAATGCTCAGAACTCTTCCACCCCAAGTTACAACCTTGGATATACCAAAAGTAAATAATTAAATAAAAATTAAACCAAAATTTTCTCAATCTCATCATATGCAAGTTAATTAAGAACATCTTCAATGGGAGAGACATTTGTTGTATTTTAAACAGTTTACCTAGTCTAATGAGAGAATGGAATTCTAATTGAACAGATAATAAAATAGACATTTTACGTCAAACCTGAACCTTAATAATTTAAAATTATTCTTGAAAAAAAAAATTTATCAATTTTTATTTGAGGTGAAGTCAAAATTGTTCGAATTGTGTGGTAAAACAACACTGTATAGTGGGAGGAGACAAACAAATGGCAAAAGTAACTTGATTTCTCTTGTTTTATTCTTCACTATTTTTTTCCTATCTTTTATTTTAATTAATTAATTAATTTTTGGGGTCCTCTCTTATAACCAAACACATATAGGTTCAACTATACTTTGGTTCAATAGTGGCCCAAAAAATTTTGAGTCTTCAAGCGAAATATCAAAATGAAGCCTTAGGGTAAGTGTGAAATTACTAGTCCTTCCATTCACTTGGGGGCAATCAAAGAAGGAGGCATATAATTTTCTATCGGAAAGAATGCTAGCAAAAATGCAAGGATGGAAAAACAAGCTTCTATCCCACGCCGGAAGGGAAATTTTACTCAAAGCTGTGGTGCAAGCAATTCCCTCCTATGCTATGGCCTGTTTTGCCCTTCTCCAGAATCTTTACAACAGTTTCAACTCTTTTATTGGGAATTTTTGGTGGAAGGGTGATCCTATCAATAGGGGAATACATTGGGCCAATTGGAGATCTATGTGTTCTTCTAAACTGTATGGAGGAATGAGTTTTCGCAACTTCTCTGATTTTCACCAAGCCATGTTAGCCAAACAGGATTGGGGATTGATTAAAAACCAAAACTCCTACTAGGCAAAAATTCTCAAAGGCCTATATATCCCTAGATCCGACTTTTTGAACGTGTCTCGAGGTGCCAAAGCTTCATGGGCTTGGTCCAGTTTATTAAAAGGCGGTGAGCTTTTTCAGAAAGGTATTTGATGGCAGGTCCATAATAACAGATCCATTCTTTTTTGGAAGGATAGATGGTTTCCAGCTACTAGCAATTTCACGATCCCATGCCCGAAGCCTCCAAGTTGTCCTATTAAATTTGTTGCTGATGCCATCGATCTAATCCATAAGCGATAGAAGTTGGAGCCTCTCCAAGATTTTATTCCCAAGGAGATCATCAATGTAATCAAGACCATCCTTATTTCGGCTGTAGGTAAAGATGATATCTTGGTTTGGTATCCACTTAAGTCTGGGATTTATTCGGTTAAATTTGGATATGCCATGGCTAGAGCCACTCTTGACAGCACTCTTAGTGATCAGGCTTCTACTTCTTTTCAGATTGCCCTTAATCTCTAGAAACATATTTGGAACCTTGATATTCCACCAAAGATTCATCACTTTTTGAGACGTTAATTTATATAAAAATTGGGCCGAGCTGAGTAATGGGCCGTTATGGGCCACAGTGCGAAGGGCTGAGTAAAAAGGCCATGAAGTTACTCCGGTCCAAGAAAGGTGTAAAGTTACTCTGATCCGCAGGAGGTGTAAAGTTACTTCGGTCCGCGAGAGACCTGAAGTTACTCCGGTCCCAAAGAGCTTACAGTAAGTTCGGTCGTCACTCACAAAGTTATCCCGGTTTGGATCGGAATATTGGTTATTCCAGTCTAGACATACCATGGTTAGCATTAAGAAGAGCCAAGGTAAGAGCAGTGAATGGAACAGCCGAGCTAGTGTTATCTCGGTCTAGTCTGCGGCTTAGCATAGCCATGCTTACCTCGGTCATGTTGAAGTCTGACCATGGTAGAACCATCTCACTTGGTTTATGTAGTGAGGGGGGTGTTGAAGGATAAGCATTATCTTTTAGGAGTATGAATCCTAGGAGGACTCTACATGGAAGAGTAAAAGTCCTACTAGGATTGTGCCATGCGGAACCTATAAAAGCTTACAACATCACCTATGGAGAGGTAACACAACTTTGATTTTTGAATACACAGAGCTTTTGTCTACTTGTCTATTTTGCTGACTTAGGCATCGGAGAGGTTTCCGGCACACACCCGGCGGCTAGCTCACGTTTGTGTTTTCAGGGAGTGAAGCGACGACGTTTGGAGGAGCGCAGACTTGATCAAAAGGATTATACGAGAAGGTTTATTTCTTTCCCATACACTTTTGGTGGAGAATTTGCAAAAATTTGTTGGCTACCAAAGCAAATTTATTCAAGCAAAAATGTTCCATTTCTGCTGTGTCCATTGTGTTGACAAGAGCTGGAAACAGTGGAGCGTATGTTATTTGACTGTGCTTGGACGAAGGCCGTATGGTTTAAACCTTCGTTTTGATCAGGGCTTAGTGTCAAATGTTGCACAATGGACTACAAATTGGGTAAGGACTGAAGCTTTTGCTGACTCGGGTCGAGCTTTCTTGAGTGAGGTGGCTATGATTGGCTGGTTCATTTGGAATGCTAGAAATGACTATGTTTTCAACCATTCTCCCGTTGATCCAAGGGACACTCTCCGAAAAATTGCAAATGCATGGGTAGAACAACAAAACCAGTTGAGTGTTGATGATGGCTTAACCACAGCTCCTGCAACATTGTCTGAAGAAGGCAAATGGTTGGCAAAATTAACTGTGATGCTACTTTCAGCACGACAAATGCAACTGCCGCTATTGCTACAATTCTTAGAGATTCTGAGGGCCGACTTCTCGATGGACAAGTCTCTTCTTTCCTCTCTAGCTCTGCTCAACAAGCCGAAGCACTGGCTGTGCGTTTGGCTTGTTTTTTGGCCCAAAATCACAACCTTCCATATGTTGAAATCGAGAATGATAATCAAACTATCATCAAGCTCTGTGTTTCAGAAACAGTTCCACCTTGGGAGAGCATGGTAGTGGTGTCGGATATTCGCTGGCTTGCGCGTAGTACAAATTGGGTCTTCTCTTGGATTTGGAGGTCAAAAAACAAAGTAGCTCATTGGGTGTCTAGAGCTCATGCTAGCAAAATTCTTCCTAATAGTATGGTGGCCTTCCCTCCCTCCCCTTTAGCTGCTATTCTATCTTCTGATGTAAATCCTCTGATGTAATTGGTTCTTCCCCTGCTATATATATTCTACTCGTTCAAAAAAAAAAAAAAAAAAAATGAAGCCTTAGGGTGTAAGCCTTTGGACAATTGGAATCTTTGGTTTGATAGATTTTTTGGGTACTTTTTTTAATTTTTTTATTTTATCTTTTTCGAATAAAGTTGTTACTAAAAAAAATTAATAATGAATTTCACAATTACTAAAAAAAATCACCTTTTGTTATTGGGAAAGTTCAGATCAAGTGTGAAAATTTTTATTTAATTTTGAATAGAATTTAATTTTCGAAGTAAATTAAAAAAAATTTGAAACCTAAAGGGCCAATCAAAAGTTAAAGTGAAAAAATAACCAAATATAAAAGACATAAAATGTAATTTTTCTTTCATATATTAGCCAGGGACCTTCCCTTAAGTTACACAGGAGATCCGTACTACCTGAGGCTACAAACGAATCAACTTGTTTATGAACTCGGTTCGGTTCGTTAAGTAAGTAAATGAGCTTGAGTCTAACTTTTAAGTTCATTTATCATTATTTAAATTATAAAATAAATATATTATTTATACACTGAATAACATAAAATATGTGTAAATAATAGCATAAATATATTATTTATGTTAAAATAATATAAATAAAATTTTTATTTAATTTTTATCAAATAATATATAAATATATTATTTATATTTTTAAATAATGTAAATAAATTTATTTTTTTAATTAAATAATATATAAACATATTATTTATATATTTAAATAATGTAAATAATAATTAATTATTGAGCCGAGCTCGAGCTCAGTAAAACTCAACTCGACTTGGTTCGTTTGCAGCTTTAGTTGCCTATGCGTGGATATTGGGCCGTGGTCAAGTCTATCTCGGCCCACTCATAATTTTTAATTTTTTTTTTTTAAATGTAATTCTCACCACCCACCTGCCACCACCACCCGCCACTACCACCACCCACTCGCTACCACCCACCACCGTCACCCATCCACCCACCACCACTACTCGCCACCACCGCCACTACCACCATCACCACCCACTCGCTACCACCCACCACCGTCACCCACCCACCACCACCGTCACCACTTTCCATCACCGTCTTCCACCGCCACTTGCCATCAATTGCCATTTCTCACTCTTTTTTATATTTTAAAATTTTTTTAAACATTTTGTCAATTACCAAACGCGTTTGTAGATTATGTTTTTTTTTTAAATAAACAAAAATCAGTTTATAAATTTTTTGTAAATATAAACTGAAAACGTAAACGTTACCAAACAGAGCCTAAACAACTATTTTTTTTTAATTTTATTTTAAAATAAAAACTCAAATAACCAATAAAACAACTTTCTAAAGCAAAAATTGTACAGTCTCAGCCACCTTTGCCTTGGTCACACTGCAGACTTCCATCCAATTATACCCACTATCAAAAAGTCTAACCAATAATTAAAATTTTATTTTATTTTTGAAATCAACAATGAAAATTCAATCAAAATTTTCATATCACTAGAATAAGAATAGTGATAAGGCCCTCCAAAATACAGCGCCAGACACCCTTGCCTTGGTCACACTACAGACTTCCATCAAATCATCCCACTATAAAAGTCTAATCAATAGTTAAAATTCCTTCTTTTTTTTCTTTTCTTCTCGTGTTTTTTTTTTTTTTTTATTCAACCAAGATTTTCGTACCGCTAGAATAAGAATAGTGTAAATGCCTAAATATAAAATATAATTCAAAAGTCAATAATTCGGTATTGTTTGATGTTTTTGTGTTGTTTTAGGCATTTATAGACTTTCCAAGTCTTTATACTCAAATGATGTGAGTAGGATAAATATTGCAAAGCTTACTTAAATTTTTGGAAGAAAGGATTATCCAATCAAATTTAAGAATAAAATTTTGAATTTTCGTGTTAGAAGTTTTTTGTATAGTAGTTACTATTTTGAGAATATCTTCTTTATACGATATTGGTTGGAGATGATTTAAGCGGCATTACAAAGATAACTCAAAAGGGATACAAATCATTGTCTCACAATATTTTCTCAATTCAACCATATTGGAGGTAAAAAAATAGGAGAACATTCAGGGCCAAGAATTTGAAAATTTGCACACTAGACATATTGCATACACCAACTTTGAAAAATTATATTTCATTCATCTAAAGTCTAAACCATGCAAATTTTGTATCTAAATTGAAGCCCTAGAAGTCTCATGTCAAAAACAAAGTGTAGAGTAAGATATGAATGAAATAGCAGACATGACTCAATATATTCAACAACTAAGGCCAAGTTTGGCATGATTGAAAAAAGACAAAAAGTCAAAAAATCACTATTATATTTAAGTCACATCATCTTATTTAAGTCACATCACCTCTCTAACACATCACTTCAAACCCAACCCAAACCCAACCCATATTTCATAAAAAGTCAAAAAATACACTTATTTAGTCTTTCCAAACTAGGCCTAAATACCAAATTTGACTTCCCAAATCTTATATATTCAACCATTGTTGGTTATGAGAAAATCCCTAAATATTTAGAGAGGAAAGACTTTGTACATATATTTACTCTATAAATAGATAGGGGTACAACTCAGGTGGGTTCAGTCGGGTTAGGAGGTTATTCAAGCCCTGCCCAAGTTGTGCTGAGACTTGCCCAAGCCCGAATTGTAACCCGAAATTGTCTGCCCAAGCTAAGGCTGAGTTAAACCCGAATTGCTCGAGTTGCCCGAATTCTAAATGAATTTCAGTTTTTTTTTCTACATTATTAAATTATTAAAATTTGACTCTATTTACAATTTTTATTTTTTTTAATCGAAAATCATTAATACCATCAAAACAAATAATTTATATAATGTAAGAAAGATGCCACTCTTTTTATGAGTGAAAATAAAAAGAAAAAAAGTAAGATTTTATGTTATTTGTATATATAATATATATTCAATATGATTTAATAATATAAATTACTTTAATATCATGTAATGACTAATAATTTATATGTATATTTAATATTTTTATATCTATATATATATATATATATAATTCGGGTTTCGGGTTGTTTGGCGTTTTTGCCCAAGCCCATTCAAATTTAATTCGGGTTTCTGAATTTTTGCCCAAACCCGTACCGAATTTGAAAATATTTTGTCCAAACTCTAAAAAAATTCGGGCTGGGCTCAGGTTGCTTGGGTTGAGCCTTCCCAAGTTACACCCCTATAACTAGAGATTTCGGTTGATCAAATAAGAGAGAAGTGGAGGAGAGTAATTGAAAATCAAGCATAGAAAAAAATTTCTTTAAAGCTCTCTTCCAAGAAAGTTATGGCAATTTGTACAATCATATGTACCTAATATTCTCATCCTTAGGGCTTAGATGAAGCCCAACTCAAGGAATACTTGAGGTTTTGTAATTAATTACTAGATTGTATTATTTTTGGATAATAATTGCATAACATTTAAATTTTTTCTACATATATCGTTTTATCTCACTTTTTGTGTTTAATTTCCGTGATTTCAACTGTATGGTTATACAATAGTTTTATTTGTACATATATTGGGATCCTAAGATAGACCATGTTTAGGGAAGACAAACCGTTTCTACAACAGTAGTTTTAGCATAAGACAGTCATAGTATATCATAATTATTCACTAATTAATCTCCCAAGAATGGGTATACCTCGTGTTACATGAGTAGTGATGAATTTAAACACTGTAGTCATCCCATTTTTTACCGCCCCTAATACTTGGGTGCTTCATTCCAAACACCCGATGATGAAAAGTTATACTATGCAATCTTTCGAATCTTTAGCAAAGGAATTCAGTTTTGAGCTTCAAACCCAAACCTTGCACCCATTTGGACCAAAACCTGTCTTCTTTTTTTTTTAGCCTAACCACTCAAAGAGAAGCAAGACCAAAAGTTGACTAGTAGGCCATTTTGTTTGGCTGGCTGGCCATGTTCAGCGAAGAAGATATTTTTTGCAGCACGGGCTGCTCCCATATATGGGATTTGGCTAGCTGCTCTCTTTTAAAGATATTTCCGTTGAAAGACGGTTGAAAATCTATAAATAGACCACCTCCCCTCAAGTTTTTGGGTTAGAAAATTTTCCCAAAGGCTTAGAAGACTATACATAGCACTTATCTACCCTCTTGAATATAGGTACACTATAGATACACCATTGAACCTCAAACTTGAAGCTTTTTGCTGAAGTTTCAAACTATTTTTTAGAAACTTGAGGGTGTTTGGAATTAAGTTTGTTAACTAAGAAGATCTTCCTCTCTTCAAGAGGAGGGAGCAGGAAGGTTGAACATATTTTGGAAACCCTCTGTTTTGCTTTGTTCCAGTTCTATTGCAGTAGGTTTTTCTCCAGAAACAGTGGCCAGTCGGCTATTCTTCTGTACGACCAACCAATTCTTTTGTATGACAGTGGTGGTTTTTCAGTAAAACAGAGCAGATCTTGAGGCCAAAACAGAACTGTCTTTTTGACTGTAAACAGAGCAATTTCTGGCAGCAAGCAGAGAGGTTTTCGGAAGATGTTCTTGCTTGTGCGCATGCAATTCCTCGGTTATCATTCAATTCCTTAAACCGGTCGCTTTGAAATTTGTGTTTTGTAATAATTAGTTGATTAATTTGTGCTTGTAATAATTAGTTAATTAGGACATTCAGACCTTCTTGTAAGAGGGCAAATTTGTAACCCTTGATGTATGTCTTCCAACCTCTATTTCTTTCTCCCTTTTATTTAAATGCTTACCATGGTTGTATGGCATCATATTTTCCTTTATCACTACCATGATTTGTATCCATTTTTGCATGCATTAAGGTTCGGCCCATCATGCTTAATATCATTGATTATATCTTACTTGAATACGTGCGGTACAACATACTTTGAGTGGATCCATATAACATGTTCATAGCCGAATCAAGTAGTTGTAGTTTGTGTGTGTTGCATTAGTCATGTGAATTTTTTAAGATCATGCATTTTCTCTGACTATTTTTTTTTTCTTTGGCTTGCCTCGGACGAGTTTTGGGTAAGCATTTTCGCCTTTAGCATATCATAAGTTATTTGTGTTACCATGTTGAGCATACTACCATGAGCATACATGCTTACTTGAAATATCTCTATGAATGCCTGTGGATGGAGGCAATTTCGCTTAGATTGGAATGACTTCGATTATTGTACATATGTGCTCGTTTTTTCTTTAAGTTGCACATATTTAAAAACTTTTTTCAAGAAAGCATAAAATCAAAGTATTCCAAAGTAAGTGACGTGGTCTATACTTGTTTGTTTCACATAGTAATGTCAGTATATTAATAATCAGAACATGAGCATATAATGTCCATAAAATTCACATCATGACTTAGTAGAGGCCAATCTTTGATCTAGTGAGTGGGGTGTTCAATTTATGACCTTCCCCTCTCATATCTAAGTTCCTGAACCAAGACACTTTGGTTACGACGGACAAGTGGCCGTTGGCACGAGTTACAGGTTTCCTAATTTTTTCAAAAATATTAGGTGGCGACTCTAAAACTTGGTAATGCAATTCATTTTTGGCATTTCTGATGATTAATGGATTTTTTAAGATTTACCGGATTTGGACTCTCATTCGCTTTTACTGTTTCACATTACACTTGTGAAACCAGATTCAGAATTATGGGAGTCCGAATTGTAGGGAATCAAATCCGATGAGACTAAACTCCTCAAAGAGCGCAAAAAATTAGCTACAAACACCCTAAGAAATTTTCCACTACTCAATTTTTTTTCTTTTTAATATTTACTTGTTATTTTCATTAAGTTCACACCATCAACCTTCTTTGTTTAAGTAAAAATATTTTTTATTTTATGCACTTTAGTCCTTACAATCACTGTGGTACAACATCCATACTCAATCCACTATATTCTTTATTTTGCATAGTTACGGGTTAGTAGTTTTCTGAATGATCAATTTTTGGCATCGTTGTCAAGGATGGTAAGAATGGCGATTAAAGTATGGAATTTTTTTTTTTTGTCTTCACTCTTTATTTTCTTACTTGTTTTTTTCCTTTTCTTTTGCACATACTTGATTTGCTACATACTTACTCGAAAAAAATAATAATATTGTTATATATATATTTTTACTGGGATAGTTTTACCACTTGTGTGTTATTATTATTATTATTAGGATAAATTGAAAAGTTATTATTACTGGGATAGTTTTACCACTTCTGATATTTGTATAAAACACGGATTGCCCCTTATAATTTGAAAAGTTATAAATACTCATTTGTCATAATTTTTTATTTAACAGAATTAACTGGAAAAATGAAATTCCAAACTGTTTTCCTATACATTAATAAAATTATTTGTATTATTAATTGAAATATGTTTATGATATCATTAAATATTGTTAATTGACTTGATAATTTATTAATAAAATGGGATGAAATTAGAAATATCAAGGATGAGATATAATTTTCAAAACTATAAAAGTATTTCATATTTTAAGTGAACCTTAGAAATTTATTAATGAAATGGGTCATTTCTTATAAAATTAGAAATTTCAAGAGTGAGATATAATTTTCAGAACCACATGGGAGTAATTCACATTTACTAATTGAAATATATTTCTAATATTATTAAATATTGTTAATTGACTTGATGATTTATTAATAAAATGGGACATTTGTTATGAAATTAGAAATTTCAAGGATGAAATGTAATTTTCAGAACTATAAGAGTATTTCATATTTTAAGTAAACCTTATGGGTATGTTTGTAATTTACCCTATATATTAATAGGGTAATTCTATTTACACAGTACTCATTTGCTTAATACAAGAAATTCTATTTCCACACACAAAATTATCTCAGTCCACACACTTAATAAATCTTTTTTTCATATTATATTTTTGTCCTAAAATAAAATACCAAAATATCATCATCTTTCCAATAGAAACCCAAGTTATCGAAGTCGCCGGTAAAGATCACAATCACAAAGTTCACCAATTCATGCAAAACAGAATCCAAGGATACATCAAACATAATTGAAATGAGAAACTCAATTGAGTAGAAGATAAGATTAGGTACAGTTCAAATCTTGGATTCAGCAGACTCCAGCGGCCGTAGAAGAGCATAATGCATTGGCACCTCTGTCAAATCATTTTTCTTTACTGTCAGCTTCACACACACACACACATATATATATAGAGAGATGAGAGTATGTGAAAGAAAGTATCAAATTCGGAAGGGAGATTATTCTCAGACGAAGTAGTAGCTAGGGTTTTAGATTGAGAAACTTTGAATCGAGCTTCAATTGGCAGTTACTTATTGAGTTGCTTCCTCTCCTCACCACCAACTTCACCTTCAGCACCACCATTGTCGTCATTAACTTCATTGAATTCTTCATCTTCGTCTTCTCCTCCTCCTTGTTCTTCGTCTGGTATCGTAGTCTTCTGTAGTTCTTTTTGTTGTTTGATATGGGTTTTTCATATCTCCCTCTCTGTTAGTAATGGTGGTCGGGTTTGTTATCGGTCGTTGGTGGTAGAGATCGGACTGCAATGATAGAGAAAGACGGCAGCTAGAGGTGGTAATTAGGGACGATCGGATGATGGTAACGATGGTGTGGAGAAGGAAAGAGATGAGGGCATTTTTGGTAGAATAAGTTGTGTATTAAGTAAAAATGAGATTTGAAATTCATTAAGTGTGTGCTTTGAGAAATGATGTACACAACGAACATTTGATGTGTGAAAATAGAATCTCCCGCTTAATACCCACCATTTCTCAAAGTTTTTATTACAATTATGTCCCTCAGTTAAATTACTTTTTTAGACAAAATTATAAACCTAATTTCTCATGAACACATACACTACCAGCAGCCACCGCTGCAACCTACGCTCTTTCGGCTCTGAATTGGCGTTGGTGCCAGTGTTACTCTCTTTCTAACCCTTGCCACCCTTCTCATTCTTCTTGCGACTACACCTTCGTTCCCAAGCCCCATAGCACCTCCCACCTTATTCTACTTTGTCTTTTCCTTATTCTTTTTCTTCTTCTTCCTTATCATTGGCTGAAACCCTAGATCTGTCTCGTTGTGGATCAGTGACGAATCTTTGTTCATCTCTCTCTCTTGTATATGCGATGGCAAACCTCTCTCTGGGAGTTAGGGCTTACGATGAATAAGGGTTGTACAGGTAGTGCATCACGGCAATGAAGGGCCATTGTGATTTTTGCTGGGGAAAGTAGGCCGTGGTAGTTGTGTTTGTTGACAATGATCGGAAGTAAAGAAAAAAAAAGAAGAAAGATAAGGTATATGATGGAGACTGCGATAGGAAGCGAGAGGGGACCAAAAGGGGCGGTGACTTAAGGAGAGTGCTGGGTAAGGGTGACCGTTGGCAACCGATGGCTAGAGGTCAATCATAAAGGTTAGGGTTTGCAGAAGAAGACAAGGGTAAGTTAGTATTATTTAGAAACTAGTGATGTGTGTTGAGGCAAAATTGAAATATTCAATTTATGTGTGGTGTAAACTGAACAAATAAGGATCAAATGATGTGTACTAAAACAAATGATGGTGTGCAAATAGAAATTGAATAAACTATCAATAGGTCATAATAGTCAGAGTCTTATTCAAAATAAGTCATAGTGCAATCATTGCTAAAAGTAAATTTTTGTAACATTTTTTGCATATTTTGTTAAAAATTAACAATTAGTAATTTTTTTTGTTATAATTTTTATAAATTATCGTTAAAACTTATAATTAGCGACATTTTTACGTGGCGAAATTTTTAAACTATTGTTAAAAATTAAAAATTAGTGACTTTTTTGCGACATTTTTTTAAATTATTGATAAAACTTATAATTAGTGATATTTTTTGTAATAAAATTTTCAAACTATTGTTGAAAATTAACAATTAGTAATATTTTTTTAATAATATTTGATGAAAATATCATTAATTATCGTAAGACTTATTAACAAAAATGTTAAAGATCCTAAAAATTCTATCAAATGTCTACGTGTGTGACCCACATGAGATTTATATTGTGTGAATTCTACATCCATATGAAATATTTGATAAAATTTTTAAATTTTTTAATATTACTCACTTATTAAATAATAAGTTCAACTATTCAGAGCTATATAAGTTGCTAAGATTTTTCATTTTAATATTACCAATCAAATTAATATTGTTTGAATGGTGGAAGTACTATTTAAAAATTTGGAGTTAATAATACCAAACCCTAAAATCTTGCAGCCCCCAAATTAGTTTTTGCCAAGTCTCTATCCTCTTCTTCTCAAAGCACACAGTCTCTCTCGGCTCCAGCATGAGAAGCTCGGCCAGCGGCGTCGCCGGCGATCGCACCGGCACCAGTAATGGAAGTATTTCGGTCGACAAGGGCGTTGATTTTGCAAATTATTTCTGCACATACGCCTTGCTCTATCACCAGAAAGAGATGCTCTGTGATAGAGTTCGCATGGAAGCTTATTACAATGCTGTTTTTGAGAACAAACATCACTTCCATGGAAAGGTAACTCTCTTTTTCTCTCTCTCTCTAATCAGTATGTTTGGTTGCCGAGAAACTTTGAGGAAAATAGATATGTGAAATTTTGGACCTTTGTCTTATTTTCTCTTCGTTTCTGAGTTATGAAAAATCATTCTCACATCTTAAATGATTTTAGTTTAATAAATGTTCTTGTTTAAAAATTTCCCCCCCCTATATTTACTCAGCAACCAACCAAAGGCTTACTTGTTAAGTTAAATAAATGTTCTTGTTTTTTTTGGGTTTTTATTTTTTATTTTCTGTTTCTCTACATTTTCTCTGCAACCAACCAAAGCCTCACTTGTTAATATATACATATTGTGTATATGCATGCTGCTGGAATCGTTAACAAAATAGATACCAGACAGGAATTGGGAACCTTGTGAGCTCAGGGAATTAATAGAAAGGCTTTAAATTTTCAACACTTTTATGCTTGTATATATGTGAACACTTTCAAGGGTTCATGCACACACATATTTTCTTGATTGTGGGTCATTTTGGTTTTTGTGAGGAAGTTGTGTTTGAACTGTTTGGGACTAAATTGGTGAATCGGTGGAGAAAGACTGTGTTAGATGTAGGAACTGGGAGTGGAATTCTTGCAATCTGGGCAGGGCAAGCTGGTGCTAGAAAAGTCTATGCAGTGGAAGCAACAAAGATGTCGGAACATGCACGTGAGCTTGTGAAAGCGAATAACCTTCAAGATGTGGTTGAAGTGATTGAGGGTTCAATGGAAGATGTTACCCTGCCAGAGAAAGGTCACAACTTGTAATTTCCAATACTGAATATACCTTTCACACTTGACAATATATTTAATGTTCTAATTTGCATTTAAATTTCGTGCGCTTTTTGTGGTGTTTATTCTAAAAATTGAAAGTGATTGATGGGCAGTTGATGTAATTATCTCTGAGTGGATGGGATATTTTCTTCTTCGTGAATCTATGTTTGATTCTGTGATTTGTGCACGTGACCGCTGGTTGAAGCCAACTGGGGTTATGTAAGTACTTCCACAAATTGATGTGTTTACTTGTTTTCCTTGGTTTAGTGTCCCAGATTTAGTTTCGTTAATTTGAATTACCCCTTCTTCTATTTTAGTTCTCTTTTATTATTGCTTGGGTTGTTTACAAATTTTGAGATGGATTGCCTCATAGAGCTCAACTACAATTTGAATGGAGATTTTGTTTCCTAACGGACAAATATCGAACTTGTTGCTAGTATACTACTGTTTTTGAATGTACATGTAAATTGCCACAGGCAAACAAATGTCTTTTTTAAAGCCTTTGCTTATGCATCTTTGAGATTTCACCTATAAGATCCCATTGAATGTGTTTCTTGTAGAAGACATAGATTGATTGATGAACTTAGTGAGTGTGAGTGGTAAGTTTGGATTTTAAATTGGTGTACCATAGTTGGAGATGATTATGAATGAGATAGAAAGTCAAAATGCAGATATTAAAATTGGTGGGAAACATATTACCAACAGTAACCATTTTAGATATTTCTTCTTTGAATTGTTTATAAGGAGGGGTAGATTGAAGAGGACATCCTTGTATAACCGTACCAGGTTGAATTGGTTAAATATATGAGTTTGCAGAGTTATGAACTTATGAGATTGGCTTATTCTAATAAATTAGCAGAATTAACAAGAATGGTTGGGACAACAAACAAATATTATGATGTACCAAGCTTTATTGAGAACACAAGGATGAGACTTGGAGATGGAGTATGAATATATGATTGGACTCACATGTGAGACCCGGAAATTAGTCTTTGGTCCAAATTGGCAACAGTATGGTAAAATTTGGCCATGAATTGGATGTGGTTATTGAATGTGATTGTTGTAAAATTTGGATGCTATTTAAAATTAGTGTGAGCACCTACAAGGAAGATTCCCAGAACTAATAATTTTTTATATTTATATGCTTATATTAAAAATGGTATGATAAGAAGAAAATGCAACTTTAAAGTGCTCCTGTAGAGCCGGTACCAAATGACACGCTTTTAACAATTAGGATGGCGGATTATCATTGGACAATTTTTTGATTAATGTAATTTTTTCTCAGTTGATTGAATGAGCTTTCATTTTGCAGGTACCCCAGCAATGCTCGTATGTGGTTGGCACCCATCAGGTCTGGATTGGCGAATCAAAAAATGAGTGACTATGAAGGATCCATGGATGATTGGTTTTATTTTTTGGACCAGACTAAAACTTATTATGGTGTTGATATGAGTGTTCTAACGAAGCCTTTTGCTGAAGAGCAGAAAAAATACTATTTACAGGTGAGTGCCACATTTCAGCAGGTTCTAACTGTAAAATTTGTGAAGTAATTATTGATCATTATAGTGTTTCGGTCAGTAATGCTCTGTAGATTGTTAGTTTCTTCCTTTGTATGCTGTTTTGGCTGCTGAAATGGATTTGGATTTGTTGGAGACCATCGCTATGTTAGTTATACTGCATCCCTCCCCGTCATATTGCTTTTCAAGTATTAGATGCTAGTTTTCTGTGCTTGTTTCCTGCATTGATAAAACATTAGTATGTTCCTACCATTGCATTGTGCACATCTTGTTGAGGTCACGAGTGACATGGGACTTATTTGACATTTTATTAGTGAATATTTAGTGGCACAGTGGGTAGTGAGTTGGTTTCTTTATTAAGCTATCAAAATAGGCACTTTTACTTATTAGTGGTTATTTAGATGATGTTCCTTCCCTCATTTTTTTCCACCATAGTCTTGAAAGTGGATTAAAATTTTGTAGTTAATTCATAGTTTTCCATGTTACATTTTTTCCCATTTGTTGTCGAGGTGGTATATGACACGGTCTTGGGTAAAACTCAACCCTAAAAGCTAGCTATTGAAGTGAGGGTGCTCTCATGCTTATATGTTTATTATTACTTTAGTACTTGGGCGATGTGGGACTTTGCTTCACAATGTTTTTTTTTTGGCAGTTATACCTTTATTAACATAGCGTGTGGTGGCGTTTCTCTAACTTACCTACTAGAGTACTTGCTGCCTACTTTTTTCTTAGTTTCTTAGCAGGTAGTCCTTGTCATCATTTTCTTTTTCTGAATATAGATCAGTGGTTTCAATAAACAGTTGAAATTTTATGACGATGTGTTTTCACATTTACCTAGTGGATTTACATGTATATTGTACAATACACATGTTATGTCAATGTGTTCATAATGTTTACCACTGTCAGACCCACTAATGCCTGAGCTGTTTTACCTTTGCATCATGGTTTACAATAATTGATGTATATTTTGAAGAGTTACATAAGTATAGTAAGCTTTGTATGTATTTTGGAGAATTGAAGTAAGTCTCTTCAACTTGCTTGGTAGAAATCGTCAAACCAACCCTTTTTTACCTTTATTTATTTATTTATTTCTCATTTTAAATCTTTCTGTACTTTTAATTATTTCTTGGGTAAATTACACTCACCTCCCCTGAGATTTAGAGAAAATACAGTTAGTTCCACATTTTTGACATAATTACACAAACCTGCCTTGAGGTTTTAATTCATATGGCACTTAGGTCATTTTTCATTAGTAATTTGTGAGTCATGTGTATTAAAAAATAATTTTGCCGAGTCTTTTCTAGTAAAATGTATATTTACCTTTGTTTAATTATGTGTTTGCTCACCATCTCCATTAGTTTTGATAGATTTAATCTTACTAAAAGAGAGATTGGTGTAATTATGTCAAACCCCTGGGGCTAGTTGTAATTTTGTCAAATCTTAGGGTAGGTGAGTGTAATTTATCCTTATTTCTTGGGTTTAACCTGCTCATGTTGTGGATTTCATTTATTTGTTAGTCGCCACGTATTTAAGGCTGTATGCTACCATCAAATAAAAAGTCTTCCAATCATTCACATGTTTTTAAAGAAATTCTCTCCATCAAATAAAAATCCTTCATATGGATTTTCTAGCATAATGATATTCACATGTTTTTAAAGAAATTCTCTCCATTGTGTTTCCAAACCAAGCTACCTTATCAGGCTTTTAAAAAGTGGCTGCAACATTTGCGTAATGCCATTATGTAACGGTATTAGTGGTTACTGCCACCTATTACGGCCACTATAATGGTGTGACAGAAATTTATAACTATAACAGTTGCCACCGTTGCGTAAAAGCTGTAATGGCCATTAAACTACTGTTATGCCTGTTACGTTTCTATTTTTAATTTTTTTTTTATAAATTTTGTATATGATGCTATTTTTTCCTTTTATTTTCTAGTTACATAGAACTTAAGTAAAAACCTTATCTATACATGTTTTGATTGTCTAGTCTTCAAGGTCTACAAGATTTCATTTATTTTTCACATTATTATATTTGAATATTTATTTATATCTATGCATCTTATGTTAAATTTATTAACAAAATTTAGATTTCTTGTTATGTACTTTTATGTTATTATATTGACATTTTGTATTTTGAACTTATGTTTATTATGAGACTATTTTTTTTTAATATTAAACATATTTCGTTGTTTTCTTAACAAATTTGAAGTTATTCATAGTGTAATTAATAAAGTCAAGAAAATTAGATAAATCCAATAATAGGAAAATTCTCCATAACGACATAAAACTAATATAAAAATTAATAAATATATATACATATATATATTGGATCATGTTTTAAAAGTAAACAAAAATATTAAAAATCATTTTGAATCTCACTAAGGCCTTGTTTGGGATAAGTTAAAAAAGCCAAAAAGTCAAAAAGTTACCAAAAAAGCTAAAAATACTATTCAAGGGTAGCTTGTGGAAGCCACTAGGGTAAAATTATTGTTTTTCCCTTTGAATTCAACTACCCAAAAAGTCGAAAAATGAAAAGGATAAAATGGTCATTTTGATTTTACTACAATATTTTATTATACATCTTTTTGTAAAAAGTGAAAAAGTTATCTCAAACATACATATTTTTTTATCTACTTTTTTAACTAAAAAGTCAAAAAGTGCATTTATATAGCACATTCCAAACAACTACTAAATGTGATTCTGAAATAAAAACATGCGTATCAGTATGTTTTTCAAAAATTATGCGAAGAACTAAAAAATTTACAGTTCCGGTTTCCGCCACCGTTATGCTACAACCGTTACACCCTGCAACCGCGTCAACGCTATCATTATTGTTACGGTAACTGCCACTGTTATTTAAAACCTTGGATACAAATTAATATTCAAATATAATTAAGTGAAAAACAAATGAAATCTTGTAGAACTTGAAGACTGGACATTCAAAACATGTATAGATAAGATTTTTACTTAAGTTCTGTGTAACTAGAAAATAAAAAGAGAAAATAGCATTATATACAAAATTTATAAAAAAAAAATTTAAAAATAGAGGCGTAACGGTCATAACAGTTGTGATTGTGCTATAGCGGTAGTGTAACAGCCATTATGGCCTTTACGTAACAGTGGCGGCTGTTACAGTTGCGAATTTCTGTTACACCGCTATAGCGGCTATAATGGGTGACGGTAACCACCACAACTGTTACGTAACAGTGACGGCCATTACAGTTGTGAATTTCTGTCACACCGCTATATCGGTCGTAATGGGTGACAGTAACCACCACAACTGTTATGTAATGGCGTTACGTAACGGTTGCAGCCGTTTTTTAAAACCTTGGCTTACTATTACATTCTTCATTTGCTGAGAACTTGAGTTTAATCTATGAAACAAAAAATGGATTATTTCAGTTCTTTCCGGTATATAAACCTAAACTATTGTTGATTGTACTGCTTTTGTGTAATAAGTATGGCCTTGGCACCAATGGTAATTTTGTATTTTATCTGCTAAAATTGATAGTTTTTTAAAATTATTGTTGATCATACTGCTGCTCTGTAATAAGTATGGCCTTGGCACCCATGGTAATTATGTATTTTATCTGCTAAAATTGATGGCTTTTTAAAATTATTATTAAAAATTATTTATTTGTTTATTATTGCTTCTGAATAACATGTCCCCTTATGCATCCTAAAGATTGTGCTATTAAATTTTTTTAGACATCACTGTGGAACAACCTTCATCCTAATCAAGTTATAGGAACAGCTGCCATTATAAAGGATATCGATTGTTTAACGGCAACAGTAAACGACATCCTGAATCTAAGAGCAAGCATTTTATCATCAATATCTTCAGAGGAAACGAGGCTTTGTGGGTTTGCTGGGTGGTTTGATGTCCATTTCCGAGTGAGTTCTATCTTCAGTGTCCCTCATTGTTATGGCATGGAATAAATCTCTGGCATCTGAGTACTAACTTTAAAATTTACTTTATACATCTTGTTTTGGTGCCCTAGGGAAGTAAAGAGAATCCAGCTCAACAGGAAATTGAGCTGACGACTGCTCCTAGTGAAGATTACAGCACACATTGGGGCCAGCAGGTTTGTAACACTAACCTACGAATTTTTCTGCCTTGTATTTGCAATGATTTAGTTGAAGTCTGAATAAGATTTCAATGCTTGCGAAGTGGAATTTCAATACAAGAACCCTTTGTTGCATCATTTGTGGTAACTAGCATAATAATTACAGTTAAAATGTCTTGCCATTGTATTTGTGGCACAATCAGCAAAAAGTGTGACCTCTTGCAAAACTAATGTGGTTAATTGGCTATTGTATGTACTTGTGCACCTGCCACATGTCATGAACATGTAGGTGGTTACGTGTTATTTACATGCCATCATATTTATAGACCTCTATGTGTCAGAAATACTAGAGACACGTGTTAGGTCACACCGAGTGAGCCTAAGAGGACCGACTACAACAATTAGTGCTTTGGTCCAAAGCTTGGCCATGAGGATGCCATTTTGATACCCCACAAGTGTCAAGTATTTGTGAACCGTGGGAGTCGAGTTTAGGCCACACCTAGTGATTACTTCTCATGGGACTTGCACCATGTACCTCTTAACCTTGGCTGAGAGGCAGTATGCTGGCACGCCGTTTACCTCTAGATTCTCTGTTGGACAGCGCACCGTTTACCTCCAGGTTCTCTGTTGGACTGCTCCATTTCTCTCCCTCAAACACTATAATCTCTGGTGCCTCTGATGTGCTTTGCTACTTCTTCGATGAAATTTCTTTAATCTAATCTACAGTGACAATTCCACTGGTGAGTGGCATTTGCGATCATGGCTTCAAAGAAATCGATTGTTGAACATGCTCAATCCACCATTGTCACTAAAGACGTCTAGGAGCTGTCACTACAGGCTGCGGCTGCTACACCCCCACCCCAAACCAGCCTCTTCATCCAGGGAGGTTTCAGTTGATCCTACCATCATTCTAATTCTTTGTTGGCTCCCATTTAGAAGTCTCAACCCAATGAACGAAACCACTTCTTCCACAATCAAACTCTTCCTCTACTTCAAACTGATTCTGTGCCTAACTAATTCTTTATTCCACTTCTGCTACTCCAGTTATTTCCAACCTCATTGAAGTCCACAGTGGCAGTGCCACTCTCAACACCGCCCTCCAATTAACAGCTATTAATCTGTGCATGTGTCATGTAGTGAAATGTTGTTGCTATGTTGATTCATCTTTTAGTGCTGATTTCTTGCATGCTTGTCATTGATCTGGTTTTGTTCCAACATTTTCTCTCGTGTTATGTGCAGGTGTTTCTCTTGCATCCTCCTATATCTGTTAGTGAAGGTGACGATTTGAACATTAATTTCTCAATGGATCGATCCAAAGAAAACCATCGGTTGATGGAGGTTGAGCTCAGTTATGAGATAAAAAAGTCTGCTGGCACGCTGCTTCCACCATTCAGAAATAAATTCTACATAGAGTGAGGAAGAAATTATATATCGTTAGCAAGTATACTGGTATGCCTTTTTAGCACCTTGATTATTATATAGACATACAATACATGGTGTGCATATGTTTATTTGCTAGGAGGTTTTACTACCATGATTCGCTGTCGTTCCTATGCCTTCAAGAACCTTTCAATCACATATTAATAAAGCTTGCAATTCATAGCATTCAGCCCTGAACTAGCTTGTGTTTGTTGCTGGGTCACTAGTTTCACCATGAACTCTCGCTATCTTCCAGATTGCTGCCTTCAATAACAACGTATGGTTGATCACGTTCTAGATCTTCTAAGCCTAACACAACCAATTTGTTTCTGGTTAAATTTGAGTTAACTGAGAAACCCAATTGAATCGGGTCAGTTGTGGTCAGTTTTTGGGCCTCTATCAGTGTTTACAAATTACAAGATATATAGTTGAGAAAATTTTGCATTTAAACCTGCAGCATGATTCTTGACCACTGTAGTTGGACAGAAGGAACAAGGGAAGGTGAAGGATCCACTGCTAAAGGGCCCTCTTACACTTTGTAGTGAAAGGTTGCAACCTAAGAAGCATAGAACACGTCTAAGACATGCTTTACACACTTGCATTGGGGGACACGTGTCTTTATCGTTGAGACACATGAAATATATTAGGAGGTTGAACAAAATAACTTGAGATCTAATGATGAAAGTACTACAGATTTATACATATTAATCCCCCATCCTTTAAACTTTAGAAATTAATGTTATGTTGTATTTTTATTATTTTTGAATGAAATATTCATATATATATATATATATATGACATAAATATGTATTACTATAATTTGGATGTCCCTCTCATGTTTGCATTTTCTGAGAGAGAAATTTGTGTCGGTATCTGTTGTGTTGGTGCCTGTGCTTCTTAGGTTGCAACACTTGTATTATTTTTCTTTTCTTGTCGGGAAATTGCATTCATAGGTCTGACATTGTAATTGTTACGGTTCTGTCGTGTGAGGTATATATTTACTGCCTTTCAAACTTTCCAACGCAATCAAGCATTCTTAGCGTAGTTTATTGTAGTGGATACGTTGCAAGAACTACTTAGTTTATTGTAGGTATATGTGTTAAATGCACCATTTTTTGTGTGCCCTTCCTCTTTTCTCTTTTATTTTTGTATTTTTATCAAATAGGCTTGCTAGTGAATGTGTTATTTTCTGATGGCTTAGGGTTTGTTTTCGTTTTCTTTTTTTATTTATTGATGTAATTTGTTTATTTAGTCAATTTTATTTAATTCAATTTATGGGCATGGTTTCATCTCTCTTATCAAGTCTTTGCTATGTTTCAGTGCCTGAATGTGAGGGACATATACCCAGTAAGTTATTGTGCTGACTGCATTCTCGGATTAATTATTTCTGGGAGTATCTGCATCAATTTTTGAGCTGTTTTGTTCTACTCTGCTTTTTATTTTTCCCTTTCCCCTTTCTCTGTCTTTTTGTAATGTGCTAAAACAAGAAACTATCTTGTTAATTTATTGAGAATTTTGATTTCAGTGTGCTTATAGGGATTTCTTTTTTCAAAAGGAATGGCAAAGGGTGTGACAAATTTTATGTATAAGAAATATATGAATTATAGCAATTGTTTGCTGATCTCCTCAAAACATTTTTATCGCACTGAAATACAGAATGTTCCATTCTAGTTACAGTGGATACTTGAATTCAATTGATCTTTATCTTAGGTTGTCTTTAGTAATTGTAGTATTACCCTGCTCAATTGCAAAGCTAGTTTGCTCATGTATATATAGTAAAGCATTTGAGAATTGAGAATTGTTACTCACAATTTTTGACCCACAATGATAGTGTAGCGAGGGAGTTGGGCCCTGCATACCACTATCCTCCATACTCGTTTATATTTTATTTTGTAGGCTCCATTCTAAGCTCACAACTATGATCTGAACTGTTCATCTTGTAAACCTCATAGTGAAGACTATCTATGCAAAAAATTAGCTTCATGAGATATCGATGAATAGATGAACAAATTGCATTTAATTTTATAAATTAAATGGTTTACTATCTATTTTAATAAAGAAAAGAAAATGTAATTTGATCACAAGTCTATTGATGTTTGATGAAACTTTTTGGATGGATAGCCTTCATTGAGATGAACAGTTTAGATAATCGTTGTAGACTTAGAATAGGATCAATAAAATATAGTATGGAGAAGTATGGAGGATAGTGGTATGGAGGGCAATTATTACCTACTATATTATTGTTATTGGAGAGTTTGGTTTAGTTAGGAATTTATAATAACGATAAGAAAATTTTATATATTTTGAACTTTTTTTTTTTGGTACTCTAAAATGGTTCACATTCCAACCGGGGGGTGTGAAGATTAAATTCCTACTTAATTTGTGAAAGTGATTTCAGCTTGAGTGGCTGACCAATAATCATTTTTTCATTCTATTGAAGTATTCGTGATCTTATTTTTGGTGCCAAAGCAAGAGGAATTGAATTTCTTCCTCCTCTATGCACCCCTCAATATTCTACACTGCACCATTATTATGTTAAAGTAAGTCCAATGGAGGGCCAGTACACTGTCACAAATATTCTAATTTGCTAATTAGCGTATACTTAAGAGTTACTCTTAGGCTTAGGCCTATCAGCGGTTTGGCACAATCCGAATCTAATCAGATTATAAAATAATTTAAACATCCGATTAGATTATGAAAAATCTGACATGAGGTAATTTGAATCCATATCTGTATTCGGGTTATTAGAGTGAGTCAGTGTGTGCTTTGCTTTGCAATTACTGTATCTATGAGCTGTGTGGCCATTTCAATGCATCCTTGGTGTTCACCATGCTTTAACTAATATATATTTCACCCTTTATTTTTGGATCCATCACATGCGTATATGTAAGCACATTGAAGCTCCCTCTATGTAACTCTTTTATAAAAAAAAAAAATTTATTTATTTATTTTTTATGGCCATTGTTTCTTGATAAATTCACTGCCCTTTCAATTTCATCCTCTCTTCAACTTCCAAATTTTATGCCCCATTGTTTTTTTTCTGACCTTTTCTGCTCCTAGAGAAGAATGTACTGAATATCAAGCACTAGTCGATTCTCCGATGAATTTTTGGTCAACTTGTCACCAGCTGTGAAATCTCCAGCTACCGATGATGATGACCTGCTGCAGCCCGTGTCTGATCATCGGATTTCAGATAGCAACAAGAAGGAAGTCCCTTCTCCTCAGCAGCAGCAGCACAAGAAGTCTACAGGGGAGAATGTTATTCACCTCATTCCACTTTTTCTGCTTCTTTGTGCTTTAATTCTTTGGTGGTTCTCTGTTCCTCTTAATAAAATGTAATCACCTCTCAAACAACCTAACCCAACCAAGCAACTTCTTTTGTTTTTCCCCTGTTATTGTCCTTGTGTTGGAATGAATTCATCTTTTTCTTTTCACTGTATCATGACATGATGCATCACTGTTTCATTGTTTGGGCTGTTGTTTCTGAATGATTGTTGTCAGAAGATACTTGAAACGTATTTTTTAGTAGAACACAATTTTTTTTTTTTTTTTTTATGAATCTTTTTTTTTTTTTTTTTTTTTTTTTTTATGAATCTTTAATTTTTAATTTTATTTTTGTGTGCAGAAAATATTTTCCTATGTTTGATTATATCCTGAAAAGTAATGTACTACTAGTGGTTATATCAATGGTGGTGGGGTGGTGATAGCTGTGGGATGGAGTTGGTGGTGGCTGTGGTGTGGCGGTATGGGATGGAGGTGGTGGTGATGACGGTGATGGTGGCATTAGTAAAATTTCGATTAAAAAATTGCTTTTCATCTTTAAAAAGTGAAAATCGTTTTGCTCAATTAAATTTATTTTTTATTAATCATTTTGATTTCCATGAAAAACATTTTAATGAAGTAGAGCACTCAGTTTTATGAGTTCTGCTCTAGGTAATTTTCATTTTGGGATGTTGGAAATGCGCAAGAAATTGGCGTATTCCGCTCTAAAAAGAGAAAGAAAAACACTTTGCTTGCAATTGTTTTTCAACTATGCTATAATCATACACACTTGGGTATGTAAGTGGTTTGTTGTTATGATCTCGCAATGATAATTTTATAATTATGAACAATATTATTGAGCTTTTTGACTTTTAATAAATAAATATAAAAGAAAAATTATATCTCACCTCCTTAAAGCATCACTTAGTATTACTTTTATCACATCAATTAAAAATTGTTACATTTTGTCACTTTTGAATATCAATTTGTATCAATGTATGTGACCTTTTCCTAAGAATTCGTTATATAAATGGATGAAAATTATGTGAAATCCTTAAGATGACCTTATTTTTCTCATCTCCTTCAGTCTTTCTCTTTCTCTCATTTTTCATACCCAAGTCAGCAACTATGCCAACGTATACTATGACTGGCATGATTCTTGTCGTGGGTAGAAGAAAAGAGTGAAAAAAAAAGAAAAAAAAAAGAAAACAAGAGGTCATTTTAAGCATTTTGCAACATTTGAAATATCTTGTGCTAGGCACATAAATTTTTTTCATTCATTTGTGTAAAAGGATCATTAACAAAACGTTCACATTGATATAGGTTAATAATTCAAGGAGACAAAGTGTAATGTATTTTAATTGATGAGGTAAAATAATAATAAATGATAATTTAAGATTGTAAGCAATTAATTAATATATATATATATATACACACAATCAATAGAATTGGGAAAGGAAGGGAGACAATGAAATTAATCTCCCAATCCCTTTCTTGTGTTTGTTAGGCTTTTTTGGTTGATCATTTGTTTGTAACTTTGTACACAAAAAGGATCATTCTCAATGGGGGCGAAGGGGAAATCTAGATGTATATCAGAAATGCTACGTAAATTGAAAACGGTATTTGAAATAAATTGTATGGTGCATATTTAAAGTTAATGAAACTTGAAATAATTGTGATCAATAGATATATTTTTTAAAGTAATTTTTATGAATATGTAATATTGTTGTTGATAATGGTTCTTAAAAGGATCATTCTATCTATGTCCGATTATTTACCAATCCACAATTGGGTAGGAAATAATTGTGGTGATTCACATAGTTCTTCAAGACCATGCTTATTGGATTTTTTGACACTACTTGAAATGGTAATATCATAGAATTAAAGTCAGAATTAATAATATGTAGGATAGAAAATCAATTACGTGTATCATGAGAATATTTGTATCATATTTAGTTATGCTAGGATATTGTATGGAATAATAGGGGAAGATTATTTTTGACCGTCAGAAAGAGTGATACGGTTAATTCTATGACAATGAGATTAGCAATAAAAATATGTGAAAGGCGTAGATAAAAATATGAGATTAGCCAGAAACTGGCGTTGCCAACTTCAAGTTGTTTGGCGTGACAATGAGATTATCTTTCGGGTGCCTCCTCTTGCTTTGAGTCCTTTATTAGCTAGTGATTGTCAAGGTGTTGTTGGATCCTTGCATAGGGCTGTTTTGAAATCTCTTTTCGGGCTTAGGCCCCCATTAATACCAATATATATATGAGATTAGCATTACCGATTCTATTTATTTCATAAAGTTTATTGAAAGTTGAAAATTAATCAAAAAGTAGAAGTTAAAAAGCACCCTCAAATTTTAGATAATCAATTTTTTTATGGCTTATTTAAGTTATTTTTACCTAATAAGCTATATGAGATGGGTTCTTGGAAGCTCAACAGAAATGGTGATTTTGTTGGGAAAGTCACCGAAAAAGATGATCTTCACTGGAAAAAATGATTTCATTTGGAACTGGAAAAGAAGAGGCTAGAGATTTGTTAACAATCAAACTAGATTCAAGAATAAATGGAGAGAAATGGTGGTTGGGTGAAAGATCAAAGCAAGCAAGCTAGAGAGAGAGAGAGAGAGAGAGCATCCCAAAGAATTCCACCTTCATTGTTCATTCCAACTTTCCAGATTTTTGCTACTGTGTTGGTTCTTCTATGAAGAGCTATGGGTGAGTGTATATATGTGTACACCCAAAATTGGCTTGATAACCAAACAATTGGCAATTCTGGGTTTGGTGATAATTGTGGTGAGGTTCTCCAAACTAGAACTAAGAATGACAGATTTGATCTCATTGCAGCCCTCATGCCCAGTTTCATCAAAGCTGTTAATTGATAAAATTTTTATTCCTTGTTCTGTGAATCTATACTTTCCTATGAAAATAAGATGTATTTTTTGATAAAACGAGCAACGTCATTAGCACCATTACTCATACCAAAATTTCGTAGTGACAACTAGAACGATTTTTTGTTAAGTTATAAGGCCCGACCTTGGTTTCAACAATGCCCAATAGGTCAATTTAATTATCAGCTAAGCGTTTATAGATACTATATGTTGTTTAGAGGGGTGATTCATGAAACCTTCTCTTTCTTTTTTCCCTTTCAGAGTCTACAATCTGAAACAACCCTAAGACCTTTGCTAGCTCAGAGGAACCAAATATGACAGAAAGTAATTAGGGGCTGACAAGTTAGTTAACTAGAAAATTGGAAGATCACAAGCTAGTTATACTAATATGGTCTTTGTTCTTTTTAAGTAAATGGTTGCTGACTTAGTTTT